TTATAATAATTAAGTTGGTAAAACATACAAATCATAATTTTCTTTAAACTTATTATAAATAACATTATTAAAATGTTAAGTAGACATTTCATTGATAACATTACGAAAATAAAATTTGTATAATTGTATAACTATAATGTTTTACTAATATTGAAATCAGAATGTTATCTGAACTTTGATAATAAATTAAATACTCAACGTTATTGTAGTAACATTTTCTTAAACTAATCAAAACATTGACAATATAATATTTTTCATGGAATATTCTTAAAACGGTAATCTAAGTTTATGTATGAAATATTTCAAGAAAAGTTGAAATATAACATTATGAGAACATCAAAATTATGAAATTGTTATCTGGGATCGAAATTTTTGTTCTGGATATCTATTACATTTTTCCGTATTTTTATTCAAAAAATTTAAATTTGACTAATACATATATTTGCGCATATATCTACTTATTTTTTGTCGATATTTAGTGGACAAAAGTCCCCCGAATTGCAGTTTTCAACCTATAATTAAAACCACTAGGTATTACCACCGTGGTAATATCACGGACAGTTATTGAGTATGTTATCTTCGCTGAAGACAGGTCCGGTACTCTGGTTTTATGGGGGATCAGCGGTGGCATATTTTGGGTGCTGATGGGCTAAACAATTATCTCGAATAACATATACAATTTAATTTGGAACTTTACCTAGGTACCGACCAATGCTGAACAGCAACTTGGTCGAGTACACTAGGCAGTAGGCTTGAGGTGGATTTGCAAAGCAAGTCGAGGAATATTTTCGATTTGCGGAGCATAATTAACATAAAGCACACTTCATACCCCCAGAATCTAAATAGTATGTGTGTGGATTAACGATAAAGTGAATACTAAATAAACAGAAAAACCAAAAAAAGCAATGTTAGTGAACTAACGGAAAAGGTCCTTTAATTTTTCTTTGTTAGAGAAATAAATATTAATCGATTAATTAATTGATAAATTGATAAATTAATTAATTGGGATCCCAATTTATACAATTTATTTTTTATTTTGTTCTAAATTTACTGACTAATGTATATAATTTTGTTATATACCTAACCTATATTTCGTCATTTTAAATAATTAAAAATAAATGTTATAAATTAGCTATTTACTAAATATGTTGTGGTTTATTTTAAATTTTTGGACTTTTGATGATTTACTAGTAATCGCTAATCAGTAATGACCAGTGTTAATTTTAGAACTATAATATGTTTGAATCTTATATTATGTTACAATCATACAAATATGAGCTCTAAATATAAATAGTAAAAAGTAAACAAATAAATTATATCGTTATTAATTATCAACTGATAAAAGTACCAACTGTCCAAAGTATAGTCCAAACTATCCAAACTATACCTAGTATTCTGCATTTCAAAGCTACTACTAGCATTGCGGTTTCAACAACGGTCTTTTCGTTGTCTCGTCACTTCGTCAGTCGTCGACCATTTAAAATACGTCCTATACGTCAAATAAGTGCTTTGTTATTTCAATAATTATGGCTGTTAATATTACTAAAAATCAGTTGTTAGTTTTTTTTCACAAAGATCGATTCATATAATTACAAATGTAAAACGTGTAATAAAGTCTATAAAACACCAAATGGAGGTATTGGAAATCTTAGAACACATTATTCAACACATTTAAAAGATCCTTCTGACAAAGTGGTTTTGGGTAAAAGAAAATTGCAAACTGTTTTGTCGCCGGCACTACCAAATACAGAGGTATTTGAAACTGATCCCGATGAGCCTCAAACTGTAGCTATTGTTTCTGTAAGTATTTTCAATATACCAATGTATAAAATGTATTTTATGCACCTACTCGTGTAAATATACATAGTTATTATATTTTGGGCATTAAATTAAATTTTGTCTTAAGGGACCAAGTGACACTTTTTCTGGTCATTTAAAAGTACAACAAACATTACCTAACATGATAATGAATATCAAATCTACAGAAGGTAAGTGAACATCATTTTTGTTTGAATGTTGAATTATTATTGAGATCATAACAAATTATTCACTACCTAGGTATTCGTTGAAATTAATATAGCTTTAGCTATAGGTATAGTTATATAAAATGTTTAGTTTAATTTAATACAATGTTTTTTAAATAATATTTTATAGATGGAACAAAAGCGGAAAAAATTACTAATGCCATTACATACTATATTTGTAAAGATAATGTGCCATTTAAGACAGTAGAAAGTGACGGTTTTAAAAATTTGATGCAAACAGCATGTCCATTATATAAAATCCCAAGTAGAAATACATTTACAAGAAGAGTAGATGAGATTTATGAATTTATTTCTTGTAAGTTTAAAGAATATCTGTCTAAAGTTGAACATGTAGCTGTCACAACTGATGCTTGGACTGAAATGATGCAAGTGAAGAGCTTCCTTGGTATAACTTTACATCTAATCAAAGATGCCAAACTTGAATCAAGTTCGTATAATACTACTTAAAACTAATAAAACTAATTTATTTTATGAATTGTTGTTGTAGAGAAATAAGTACCTATACTTTTAAATGACTTAATAAACATGCAAAGGTGGGCAATAATTAGTTAAAAAGTTTAAGTTAAGTTGTTTTAGTTTTATTAAGTTGTTTTCTCCCTCACGTGGAGTCACGCGCAACATTAGGTGCCCATACACGAGCGGATTTTATAACGGATTTGGTCTGACGGACCAAATCCTTAGGTCCTTGAAAGATTTGGTCCGTCGGACTAGGTCCTTTAACGTGTCCACTAACGTGAAAATAAAAGTCCGCTATTTTTCGCGGAGCGAATCCACCAGCGGACCATGTCCGCTGGTTAGTGGAGGAAATCCGTTGATTTTTATGCTGAGGACCTAGTCCGTTGGTCTTTCAAGACGTTCTGAAAGATCTGCGGATTTATGCGACGGACTACAACAGTTATCAGTTGTTACTTGTTATGTTATCACTCATCTACTATGAATTTGTGTTAATTTGTGTTATTTTATAATCATAAATTTTAAATAGATATACAATTGATGTCACATAATATTATACCACATTATAAGTTATAACATAATATTAAAATATATAATGAATAAACATAATATGCCTCCGAGAAAAAAAAAGTTGATAGCCGCTGCAGGATTACTAATGGTCGGGTACCATTATATCTCAAAAAGAAAAATGAGGCGTAAGTGGGTCAAAAACTGGCTTGCTAGAAGGGATTTGTTTGGTCACATGCCATTATTAAAAGAGTTGAATGAAAATGAACCAAATGATTTGAAAAACTATTTGAGGATGTCAAAACCAGATTTTGATCGACTCTTGGGTAAGTGTCTTACAAATTAAAATTATTCGCCATATTATTAGATTCTGAGCGATGCGATGAATGTATTGATTTTACAATGATGTGTGTTTTTTTTTTAAAAAAATTTTTGTGCCTGTCATCACCTTTTAGGACAGTAAAAGTGCTTGGATTTTCTTCAATAGTAACTTTTCTGATAGGAAAGTGAATCTAGTTGGTACTTTGGAGGGTCAAAAGTAAAAATTTCACACTAGTTTTCAAAAGCGCCGTGAAAAACAAAAGAAAAATTAAGGAAAAACCAGAATTTTTACGCAAAATCTGTTTTCGAGAAAATCGATTTTGGTTTTTACTGCAACTCAAAAACAAATGACCGTAGATACTTAAAAATTGTACTGAATGTTTATATTAGCATTTCCTATACACGATAAAATTTTGAAAATAATTTGACTCTTTTTGAGCTGTTAACGGACATTGTCAGTTTTCATTTTTTTAGTTTTTTTTTCTATAAATATCAATAAAATGTACAAATTTATTTTCTACTTAGATTTACTAAGACCACACATAACAAAACAGGATACAGTAATGCGCCAGGCAATACCTGCAGAAGAACGTCTTATAGCTACTTTACGGTTTCTAGCTACTGGCAGGTCATATGAGGACTTAAAATTCAGTACAGGAATTTCTGCACAAACTCTTGGTTCTATTATACCTGAGACATGTAAGGCTATCTATGAAATATTGCAAGACACATATATGAAGGTAAAAATAATGCTTTATTTACTTTATAATATTTAGTTACAATTTAGCAATGTATTATTAACAATGTAACAATTTGATAATTAAAATAATAATAAAACAACATTAAAATAAATAGGTACTTTATAGTTTCCCTCAGACTTTTGTATAGCAATTTGACAATTAAAATAATAACAAAATTAACATTATAATACATTTTAACCATATAAGTCTTTTCTTCAGACTTAAACATCAACAATGTCATAACACTCATGTAGTTGCCCCAGAAGCCCTTTGGCACAGACTTTTTGAAACAACAGTTCAGCATATATTTGCTGTTCAGGCTTCATTTTTTTCAGTTTAGCTGCAAAATTAATTCCCATTGCTTCGTATTCATCAGGCTTGTTATCGTTTTCAAGAGCTTCAGAACACTTTTTCATAAAACTAGAAACGCTATCATCCATCTTCTGTTTTTTAGTCTTTTTACACTGAATAGGTGATGACGGTATTTGAAAAACCTGAAATACAAATTTTAATATTAGTAAAATAATAATAATTTTTTTTAGCAACTGTAAATAATAGTTAACACAGTAAGTAAGAAAAATGTATTAATTTTATATTTTTATAGGTGCCTCAAACATCTAAAGATTGGAAAGAAGTAGCTAATGGGTTTAAGGATCGATGGCAAATGATCAACTGTGGAGGTTGTATTGATGGCAAACATATTCGCATTTGTCAACCTGCACGTTCTGGTGCACTATATTATAATTATAAAAACTTTTATAGTATTGTTCTAATGGCTATTGTAAATCATAATTGTGAATTCATATATGTCGATGTTGGAATACAAGGTAGGATATCTGATGGTGGCGTTATACAAGCAACAACATTTTACAGAAGACTACAGAATGAAACTCTTAATTTGCCAAAACCTACAGATTGTGAAGAAGATCTTAATTTTGTATTCATTGGAGATGAAGCATTTTCTCTAGAAGAACATGTTTTAAAACCATTTCCACAAAAATCCTTAAACTATGAAAGAAGGATTTACAATTACCGACTATCGAGGGCTAGAAATGTAGTGGAAAATGCTTTTGGTCTAATAGCAAGTAGATTTCGCATTTTGCAGACATCTATTAATGTCAATCCGAATGACACAAAGTATATTGTTTTAGAAATTTGCACACTTCATAATTTTCTTATAAAACACAATTCTTCTTATGTAAAACCTACATCTGAAAACAGTGAGACACAAGACATAGAAGATATTGATGTAAGTGGACGATTGTTTCCATTACAAAACTTTATTAATGCAAGAAATAGTTCAGCAGCAGCCAAAATAAACCGAAACAAGTATTTAGAGTATTTTAATGGAGTTAGAAAAGTAGTTTGGCAGGATGACATGATTAAAAAAGGAAAATCATAATTATTTTAAATAACTAAGGATATTTTTAATATTTTTACTAATTAATTAATAGGTATTGTACCTAATTATTATTATTTTTATTACTTATTACTTATTATTATTATTAATTATTATTTAGATTAAGAATATAGGTACTATATAACACTGTCATTGAGAGTATCATGTTATCTACTTAAACTATTATAAACACTTGCATATTGTTAAATTTAATAGTCACTGTCTAACAATTTAACCTAGTTTTCATTTTTAATTTGTTGAAAAAACTTACATTATTTTGACCATCATTTGTATTGGATACATCAATGTCAACATCTTTTTCACAACATTGTGAATTATTTTCAGTCAAATCTAAATTGTTACAGTCATTTTCTTCATCTATTTCATGACTATAATCGCTAGTACCTCCTAGGTTATCAATTGATGGAAGTGGGTCCATATCATTTGCAAAATATAAGAGATCATAATACCTTCAAGAATAAATTAATACACAAATATAGTACACATACATATTACATAAAATTGGGAACCTATGTAAAAAATTAACACTTACCACAATGTTGGAGTATACAGGTCATCTGTACCTTTTCCACTTCTCCTAGATGCTTCTACTTTTGCTCTTTCCTTTCTAACCATTCTTCTGATGTTTTGAATTTTAGATTTAACTTCTTTTACATTAGCACTAGCCAATCCTTTAGATTTGAGAAATTCCATAAGTTCATTATAAGCAACAGACTTTAAATTTTTGTTCTTATACTCAATAGAGCTTATTTTCCATAAACATGGTTTGGAATGGTACAACTCGATGAAATCTGTTGTTATAGATTTACTCCACTCCATGATTTATGCAAAATGTATTTAAATATTACTAAAAAAAAATTAGCGAGGTACACCAAGATTTAAAAATGATTAAAATATATCAAAAATCAAAATACAAATCATTAACGAACCATTGATAAGAGAAACAGATGATATTGTATGATAATAAAATTATTACTATCAATAAAACAAAAATTTCTTATCAAGGTCCGTGGTCCGCCGGACCTGGTCTTAGTCTGTGGCAAAGCGAGAGACTTGAACCGTTGGACTAAATCCGTCGGATTTTAAATCTGCCGGATTGAATCCTTAGAACACCACACACGATAGGACTTTTTAGAGGATTTAATCCGTCAGAGACCAAATCCGTTATAAAATCCGCTCGTGTATGGGCACCTATTGATAAAACGCTTTCACCTAAAATCGTTTTATTTGATTTTTGAGTAACATAGAGTAAAATCACCTATTACAAAAGTTATAGAGGATAATATTTTCAAGGGAAAAACCTATCAGTCTTATATTTTAATATTATTTGGCTTTGCCTGAAAAATATTATTCTCTTTCGATTTTGTAATAGGTGATTTTACTTTTAAGATTATTTAAAAACATAAAAAAAACGATCTGCGTGAATGCGTATTACGTACGTTTTGTCGATGTTGCGCGTGAGCTAGAGAGAGAAAACAAACAGTGCGCTAAGCCGCTGACATCTTCTATAATATCATTTATAGCCATGGAATTGTCGATCAGATTGGTTATTTCCTTGAAAATTATTTTTAGATTTATATGCGGGTAATAATGTACATACTATAATATTATGGCGATTAATCGCTAATTAGGTCGAGTCCCGTCGCGGTCGGCCGTCTCCTATGATGGATAACGATGATAATAGCAATATAAATAATATAGCGCGCCAGACGACTGTGGTTTGCAATGGAATGAAATGTTGGGTCGCGTTGTACACTTTTGTTTTTGATTTTTTACATTGTCGTCGTCATACAGAAGAAAAAACTGATTGTTTCAAAATGTTTTTGGAAGTTTCAAGTTTTCAACAGTTTTGGTAAGTAAAATATTACACTTGTATTATTTTAATTTTACTTATACAGCCATTTAGGTACCTACTTATATATCTGTTAAGGAGACGTGAACGACACACACATATTTTGTTGTCTCCGTCTTACAAACGTACTACGTTCTATGGTACTACATATCAAATTTACGTTCAGCAGAACCAATTGTGTGCTTTTTTTTTTTAAATATTATGCAGCTAGGCCGCTAGGGTCCACTCGCAGAGTCTGATTTGCTTTTGTTAAGCCTCGTCCAGACCAAAAAAAAATTGGTCGGAAACACGTGTTTCTGATATTGTTGTCGACAATGTTTCCGATTTCCCGTGATAAGCGTTAACAAATATTTGTCGACAACATGTTTCTGACAAATGTTTCTTGGTCTGGACCGAGCTTTACATATCTACTGTTTTTAAAAACATTTAGATTGTCTCGTCTGTGTTGGGAAAAGATGAGTTTATAATTTGTTTTGTTTTCATGCTGTATACAGAGTGCAGACCAATAGCATACCCAGGGCCGGCGCAAGAAGTATTGGCGCCCTGGGCGAAACCATGTTTTGGCGCCCTTACCCCCTCACACCTAGTTTGAGTAGTAATAAAATTAGTATGTATTTTGTATCATAATTTTAAACTTTATTACCTGATCGTATACCATTGTAATAAGATTACACATATTATATTATTAACGTATAAAATTGCCGCATTCCGTAAAATAAAAAATAAAAATATTAATTTTAAACTTATAACTATAATTAATATTAAAACTTAACTTTTCTAGCTTTTAATTCAGAAAACTGTTTGATTGCTTCTTCATAGTTTACTTTTTGGGCTAAATCATTTTCAATTGACAAAATTGCTAACAAAGAAAGTCTATCATCTGTCATCGAGGAGCGCAAATAAGTTTTTATTAATTTCAGTTTAGAAAAACTTCGTTCACCTGATGCTACAGTAACTGGAATCGTCAGCAATATTCTTAGAGATATCCATGTGTAAGGGAATATATCAACTAATTTCATATCGTGTATAAACTGGAGCGCTGATTTGGGGGATCCTTTGCCAATTGGTAAAAGTGAACTCAGATGTTTAAGTTCACTGTAAAGCTCTACGGAATTTATATCAGCACTATCTCCTTCCGAGAGTGCTCCATGCAGATCTTTACAGCATGCCAAAAGATATTCAGAAGATGGTAATTTTTCTAAATTGTACAGAAACCCCCATAACTGCTTATGATTTTCAAATTGAGTAAATCTTTCTTTTATAGATTCTCTGACTGTGTCTACAAGAGTGTAGAAAAATTCTCTTTTAAAACGTTCTTCAGCGCTAATCAAAAAATCTTGATCGGTGTTTTCATCAAAAAAAGTTTTTTTACGTCTTACTCGTACTTCTTTTATAATTGGGTCTATACCTAATGACTCTGCTTTTTCTCTTGAAGAGTTTGACGCATCTGCGTACCCTGTTTCTCGATACTTGTTAATTTATTTGACACAATTATCTAATAATGAAGACGCCATTTCTATATCCATTGTAAACCCTTGCATAGATTTACTTACAATATTTACTTGAAATAATAAATCATACCAAACATTTAATGAAATCAATACCTTGAAGTCAAGTAATTGATTGCCTAAACTGCTTGCTTCATTCCTTGTACCAGCATCTGCCTTAGATGATTCCGCAACTTCAATTAATGCATCGTATACTTCTTTTGTTTGATATCGAATTGCTTTTACACTGTCTATGCGACTCTCCCAACGGGTTGTACACAATGGTTTAACCGTCAAGTTAGGTAAGTGTGATTTTAGTACTTGCCAACGGTAAACAGAAGCCGAAAATAAAACAAATATCCGTTGTACAATTCCAAAAAGAGTGATAGATTCTTTGGATTGCGAGGCTGCGTCAGATATAACGAGATTAAGAGAATGACAACCACAGGGCATAAATGCCGCTTTAGGGTTTAAAGCTAAAATTCTTGCTTGAACACCTTTTTTATGACCTTTCATATTCGCGCCATTATCGTAACCCTGACCACGACAGTTCATTATATCAAGATTGTTTTCTTTTAGTGTCTTAAGCAATAACTCAGTAAGGCTTTCTCCAGTAGATTCACTAACTTCTCTAAAACCAATAAAATGCTCAGCTACTTGTAAATTGCCATTATTTTCGTCCACAAATCTTATAGTAAATGACATTTTTTCAGAATGGCTGACATCAGGAGTACAATCTAATATCACAGAAAAATATTTTGCGACTTGTACTTTTTGCTGAATAATTTCTAAAACTTTGGAGGCCATTAGATTTATAAGTTCATTTTGAATATCCTTACTGTAATAAGCCAGATTGAGTTTTTGTGTAGTTATTCGATTTAAATGTTCTTTCATATTATTGTCATATTTTCCTAAAAGTTCTACTAACCCCAAATAGTTTCCATTATTTCTTTCAAATAGTTTATCAGACGATCCTCGGAAAGCTAGATTGTGTTTGGATAAGTATAAAGTTATAGATATTAACCTTTCTAAAATACTTTTCCAATATTGAACTTCTGTATTCATTACTCGTTGCAGGTCATTATCAATACATCTACCAAGGTTTAATTTTAATTCACATTCGTGCCACTTTTTGTATGCAGTAAAATGCTCAGGTGATTTTTCATGCGAAATAAGTATTGTTGTCATATGTTTCCAGTCATTATTGCCTGTTGTGGATAGTGTACTATGAGAACTATTAAAAAGTTTGCAACAAAAACAAAACACCCGATCAATGCTTTTAGAATATACAAGCCATCGTCTTTTAACTTTTTCATTGTTGTCTAATTTTCTTATTTGGTAAATTTTAGAAAAATGACGATTATTTTCATCTTTGGGATAAATGTCTTCGTTTATTTCACGTGGTCCCATCTTAATAACTATGTCTATTAAGTTATTCTGTCTGTTATCTGGCCATAAATATGGGTCGAATAAATCAGGTTGAGAAATAAATGCAACGGATTTTGAAACATCGGTTACCGGTTTATCGCTCATCTCAACTGTTTTGTTCACAAATGCACTTTTATTACTATTAATGTCAATATCAAAATTATTATCATCACAAGGAAAATATGTTAAAGTAGGAGAGGTCAACGTTACTTCATTATTATGTTTAACATGAGTCTTAGAAATATTTTCATATATAC